CTAGGGTTTTGAAGGGGAGGCTTTTGGTCATTTTAGTGTCATAAAAAAACTGACTGGCCATGTATCTAAATTTAAAAAGGTTATGCACATTTATTAAAATTAGGGGTCAAATATGATGTTATCCATGTATGTATTTTCTTTTTACGACCATTATTATTATTACTGTTATTATTATTTTTTATTTTTTATTTTGTCATTAAAAAAAGGAGTGCACAGATAGAGAGATTATTAGTGCCAACGGATCTCTCATAGTAGAAATTTCAAGGACTCATTAGTAAAACGGAAAGATCTTAATTTCAAGAGAATTGTAGTCTCATGGGAATTGTAACTAATAGTCGAGCTTCGAATCTTTGGTAAAACAACGTATTATTAGAGTTGTTAATAAATAACAATTCTAATCCTAAAAGGAGATATGTGAGGGACAAATATGAGTTTATGAACTAAAAAAACAACAGATATCTAGTAAATAAGAAATGAGTACATATTGATAATATATTTATGACAATTAATGACATTAAATTCTTATCACACAACGTAATTAAGTTTTTATATTTAATGATAATTATCAATAAAATCGTAACTATTAAAACCTCTTATATATGTATATATCTAAGAGTTTCATGAGAATAATCCTATAACTCTCAGATATATCAAATTTGATACATTTTCCACAGAGTAATCCTATAACTCTCAGATATATCAAATTTGATATATTTTTCAGATTTTACCCATAACTCTCAGATATATCAAATTTGATACGTTTTCCAGATTTTACCCAACTTGATCATGGGGTAAATATGAGATTCATCAGGTAAATCTTTGATTTATTGGATTACATCATGAGGTGAATTCTGAATTTATTTAATAAATCACGAATTTATTATTGTTTATTAATTTAAATTATTTTTCTGCCATTTATTTTTGTTCCTGTAAAAAAATATTATTATAATTACCTTCTTCTCCCGCTCTTACTTGTTACATCCTATAATGAAATAAGGGCTCTAGATGGTTAATTATAAAAGTTATACTTTTCATTTCTATTATTTTTAATTTACAAATAACCTTTTATTTGAAAAAATTACAACTTACTACAACACGTTTTGATTTTTTCTTTTTTTTTTTCTTTGCAACTTTCTTCCCGTTAAAATTTCATATTTAAAATGCAGGGGATTCTAGATACACTATCAGGGAAATAGTTTTTCCCTGATTCGAAACTGAATACAAGCAAACTTACGTTTTAAAACTTTTACAATGGTTATAGAAGGTCATTATACAAATAATTCCATGTGCTTTATAATATCTGTTTGACGATAAAATTTTTCATGTATAATTAAAGAGTTTCAACGCACTATCAATTTTTCTTGTTATTCTCTTTTTAAAATTTAGGCTCGCGAGCACTGTCTAAAATTTCAATTCATTTTGAAACTTTGTCGCCACATTCAATTATAATCTCAATTGAATTTTCGAAGCAAATTATTTATTTGTAATGCTTTTATTGAAGTTTATTTATGGTAAATTAATTTTAAACCATGGTGTTTGTTTGTTTGTTTTTTTTTTTTTGGGACTAGCTATACGTGGTGTTTGTTTAGTTGAGTGAAAGAATTATTTTCATTAAAAAATAATAATACTGTGCATCTGTATATTTGCCCCAAAATAACGGTGCAATAACGGTGTTTCCTGGTAATTAAAGTCAGGGGGGCAATAACGGTGTTTCAATAAAAGTTCGTGTCCAGTTTGGTAAACTGGCAACACCGATTCAAAAAAACGGTAAAGAAAGAGACTTTCTGACAGGCGTGTAAGGAAATGGGACCGGACGCCCCTTAACAACATAAAAGCAAAAGAAAACGCTGTTGCCCGCTATTGCAATTATAAAATCCTGAAAAATGGTGGTGCTCCACTTTCTGTCCTTTCCTTACCCATTCTCGCCCCTCCCACGCGCTCCCTAGCTCTTATTTATTTATTTGTTTGGTTTTTATTGGGATAATTTTAATTTGGTATCCTGTACGATATTGAAATCGTCTTTTAATATTACGTATTTTTAATAATTTTAAATTAATATTTTTACGTTTTAAAAAATAAGTTTTGATGTCCTGAGATTTTTTTAGGAAATGAAATGTTGAATTTGTCTTTTTAATAATTTCTAATTTAGTTGACCTAAATTTACTCTTTATTCAACGTTTTAAAAAATAAAAACTTATTCCTGTAATTAAACATCCTTTTTGCCTTTAAAAATCTTTAAAAAAAAATGAATTTGGGACATCCAACGATTTCTTTACCCTTGTGATTAATTAATCAAAAACTTAGATATAGTGTAAGAATATTTCAATAAATATTAAAGTTTCTAAATATAAAAAACATAGAGCCTATATATAAACAATTAGATCTCCCACAGCCTTCCTTTTCAAGTATTTTCTTTCTCAATCCCATTTTATACACTCTATACATAGGATTATAAAAGACAAAGTCTACCCTGCCCCCATCCCTCCCTTTGGGCTAAAGTCTGACACCGGTCTTGAGCTGGATGTTGGATCTATGGCATGGGGAGGGGTGGTGCATAGTTTCAGTTTTTAGTGAAAGTGACTGCAGGTAGAGAACGATCAATTAGACGTCGAAGTTTTCCTTTTTTGTGAATGGCGAGCATTTGTGGAATCTTCGTGCTCAAAGAGGTTTAAGACAAGGATGTCCGTTGTCTCTGTATTTATTTTTATTGTGTGCCAGAGGTCTTTTTACGTTAATTAATGCAGCGGAGAGAGATTGTACAATCACGGGATTAGCTTGCTCTTGTAACGGTCTAAAGGTGAGTCGTTTAATTTTTCCGATGATAGTTTAATTTTCTGCAAAGCAAAAGTGGAAGAATGTGAGCAAATCAAGAGGATTTTGGAATGTTATGAGTTGGCGTTGGGACAAAGCATTAATTTTTTGAATTCTCTATTACTTTCAACTCAAATATAGAGGAGGACAAAAAGAGTTTAATTCAGGGTGTTCTTGGGTTGAATATTGCTCAATCCCATGATAAATATCTGGAGTTTCCTACTCGGGTAGGCAAAAATAAAAATAAACTTTCCGTGTCATCGAAGAGAAGGACTACAACAATAGAGGAGCAAGCTTTTTTTTTTTTTTTTGCAGGGGGTAAGGAGATCCTTGTAAAAGCGGCTGTGCTGACCCTCCAAAGTTATAAATGAGTTTGTTCTGGATACCAAGTAGCTTATGCGATGAACTCCATCAGTTAGCTGCTAGGTTTTGGTAGGGAGGGGACGACTCAAAATGAAAACCTCACTGGTGGTCTTGGAGTTGGTTGTGTTAGGCCAAATATGACGGTGTGATGCGTTTTAGGGATATATATGTCTTTAATCAAGCCATGTTAGCCAAATAATATTGGCGTATTCTACAAGATCCTGGATCGCTTGTTTCACGGGTCTTGAATGCTCGATATTTTCTTAATGTTCATTTTATGCAGGCTAGTGAAGGATCAAATGCTTCCTATATTTGGCGTAGCTTTCTTTGGGGTCGGGAGTTGCTTTAATCCGGGTATTTAAGGATCCATGGCTTCCTCGTCCGGTTTCTTTTCACCCTATAACCGTTGCGAATGACACTAACCAGGGCTATTATGTCTCTGATTTTTTGCATGGTTTGAATGATAACCATCTTAGATGGCATATTGAGTTGGTAAGGTCACATCTTCTACCAGTGGATACTGAACTTATACAGAACATTCTAATTGGGATGTATAGAAGTGATGATCTTCTCATGTGGCATTATGACAATAAAGGGAGATATTCTGTGAAATCTAACTATTTTACAGCTTTGAAGGTTAAGAAAAATGGCGAATCATCTTCGGAGAGTGCGGATCAGCGTTGTTGGAAGTTTTTGTGGCACTTAAAGATTCTCCTTAAAGTGAAGATTTTTGTATGGTGGGCTTTTCATAATATTCTGCCAACTTGGAAAAATCTTGCGGGGCGAGGTGTCAACTGTTTGAGAGGGTGTAGATGGTGCTTTCATTATAAGGAGACAACTTTTCATGTTTTAATTTCGTGTGACGTTACTATGTGCATTTGGAGTCGCAATACCTTCTGAAATCTCTTTTTAGCTTTTTTGAGTGATGGCTTGGATTATCTCTTATTGCGCTTATCTAATGTGCTAAAAGTAAATGATTTTGAAGTCTCTGTAATGGTGTGGTGGTATGTTTGGAAAGATAGGAATTTCTTCACTCTTGGGGAACATCTCTGTCTTCTAGAGGAGACTTTAGCATTGGCAAGTTCCTAACTGATTGAGTTCCAGCTTGCTCAAGTGAAAGTACAACTGCCGGAACAACATCCAGTTTTCATAGATTAGTGTTGGCGGCCTCCAATACAGGATCAACTAATGCTTAATGTGGATGCTTTAGTGGTGTCCAACGAATCTCACACTGGTATTGGAGGTCTTATTAGAGATGTTCGGGCTTCGTTTTGGGTGCTTTCTCAAAACAGTTAGTAGGTCGTTTCTCTCCTTTTATTTCTGAATGTCTGGCTATTAGAGAGAGTTTGCTTTTTGCGAAGGATAGCAGCTTTAGAGTCTCTATTGTTGAGAGTGAATCAGTAAATGCAGTCAGAGCAATCAAGGATTTATGTAGTTGTGCTGCTAAGTTTTCCATTTTAAATGAGATCAAGATCTTGATGTAAGAAGTTAACGGTGATATGTGTAGTCACATTTCTTGCTCTTGTAATGTGCCTGCCCACACATTAGCGAAGTTAGCTTTGTCGCTAGTTGAAGATCAGTATTGGTTAGAGGGTTTTTCTAATTGTATTAATGAGTTTATAAGTGCCAACATGACTTTTTTGATTAATAAAACTCGACTTTTCCCCGTAAAAAAAAGAAAAAAAAAAAACTATACCTAAAAACAAAAACAAAAAAATCAACAAATGTTTTTTTCTAAACATGCGCGTGATTTGGCGCGTGGGAGACCCAAACACTTTTTATGGGAAGTGAAAAATTTTCGGCTGTAGATAAACTCATGAGTCTCATGAAATTTGAACAGTGCAATAATTTCTCATTTGCGAGGATCTTGTCCGACTGTCAGAATCCATAAACAAGAAACCAAACGCCAAAAACGCCGTCGTATTCATCCAATTCCCTCTCCTCCTCCTCCTCCTCCTCCTCCTGGGTTTCTCTCTCGTTCTTCCTCACCCACTCTCTCTTTTCAAAACTCCATCTTCGTACCTCAACAGCAGAAGTAGAAACCAGGAAAAGCAAAAGCTTAAAAATCGAAGTCAAAGATTCAAAAGTAAAAAAAAAAATCTGCTTTTGCGATGTAGAGAAAGCAAGAGAAAGCACTTCTCTTCATCGTCGAAAGCACACACAAAAAAAAGCGCTTGTTCTAGGTATCTTCTCTCCTCAGCAGAACTGTCCTGTTTTATTCGTCGAAATGTTTTTTTTTTCTTTTTTCGGTTGTTTTGTTTTCGAATGTTGTCTTTAGGTTTTCAAAGTCAATGTTTTTACTGTTTTTGGTAGTGGAACGGGTTAGGGCTGGGATTTTGTTGTTGTTCTTATTTTGATCTGTTGGGGTGATGAGTAATTCGCCAATTGAGAAAAGTTTTCACTCAACGTTATAGATCTATTTCGTTTGGAGATTTGTTTGTGTAAATGTGAGAAAAATCACTGCTTTATCATTGTTATAGTTATTATTATTATTATTTTTGCTCTGAAAATGTCGTTATAGTAGCTTTACTTGCCTCTACTTCTGATAGAGCTGGAAAAAAAATATTGTTTTGATTTCTTTCACTTTTATATATATGATTAGTAGGAATCAAAACCTTGTCTTTTACTAGAGAAAAAAATAACTGGTTTTTATTATTTATTATTTTTTTATTTTTTTGGTGGCTTAAAGATTTTGCCATTTTGGTAAGGACTATAGTAGTCTTCCTAAGTAGTTTTTGCAGTGAATTTTGGATTTATATGTAGTAGTCACCACACGGTGAAGCATGTTTGATACGGAGGAAACTTGGGTGGTTATTGCATATAAAACTGGAATTTGATGGTTTATTAAAAGGGTATTTTGAAAATTAGAAATGAGAGGATTTTCTGAGATAGCATGGAAAATTGGAATTTTTGTTGAAAACTTTGGTTTATTAAAAGGTGTCAAACTTGTTGGAATCGTTTAAGAGTATGGAATCAATATTGTGATTTTGTTCGGACTGATCACTCGAATGATGACATTAGTAATTATCTTTGTAGTCATGGGTTTCTCGATACCTGTGGCATGATTCCTAAATTATTGAAATGTGCTTGCTTCTGTAAGAGCAGGTTGGGAATTCTCTACTATACATAACGAGAAGTAAAATGGATTTTTTGCTTGCACTATGTAATCAAATGTATTTCAAGTTATAAAATGGATTTGTGCTTACACAATGTAATTGAACATATTACAAGTTTAAGCTTTTGTGATTGTGTATTGCGTTCTTACTGTTGCCATTGAATGGTTAATTGCAATTTTGTCTTGGAGATTAGACTTGTTCTTGATGCTAAGCCAACATACCATTTTTTCACAGTATTGGCATGCTTATTGGATTAATCAGCGATTGAAGAGTTGAGTTGTTGCTGTATGAATATCAAGTGTTAGCTATCTAAACATGGATAAAGTGTCCTCCGACTGTCAATACCCGGGATGTTTCTTTTGTGTCATGAAGGAAGGGAATCCAAGTAAACGTAGAGCAAGCATTTTGAAATTCTTTAGAGAACTTCCTGCCCAGGATGATGATGGTCAGGTTCTCCCTATCAGCGGGCTTTGGAACACTGCCATGGCACATCCAAATGACCCCGAGTTCATTGAGTTAGGAATATTTGAATGCATGGCTGCTCTAATATGGAAGGGTCTAAAGAATCGTCGCTGGCTTTCTCACGACCAGAATATATACATCCCCTATTACGCAGCGCATATTATTGGATCCTATACCATGAATATGGAAGAATTTGCAGAAAGTTCCGTACATGCTGGGGTTATCCCTCCCTTGGTGGAACTTCTAAGAGGGAGGTTAACTTGGGTTGAGCAGAGAGTAGCTGTTCGAGCGTTAGGACACTTAGCAACATATGCCAGCACTTTTCCTGCCGTAGCTAGTCATGGTGAAATTCTTGAGCTTTCTATTCAACTGGCAACGAGTTCGCTAGAGATAGTGTACTCACATTTTTATCAATATGTTGATAGAAGGCTAAGCTACCATTGCGATTTGCTGACTCGTGGAATGGGTGGTGTTGAAATGGAATCCAGGAAGGCTGAGGAGTGGGCTAGTCAGTTGCAATGTTGGTCCCTGCAGCTCATCAACTGCTTTGCTTTCAAACCGGAGTTTCTTCCCACCATTTGCAAGCCTGAATTCTTGATAAAACTGCCTGGCATGTGGGGTGGGCTTGTTAACGAGAATTCACCAGCTGGTATTGGTTTATTGAGAACAATTTGTCATCATAAGCTTGGGAGAGGACCTGTTGCTGGCTGTCCTGTTATTATTGAATCATTATGTAATATTGCCCGGTCATCCGATGATTGGCAATACATGGCTATTGATTGTCTTCTTTGGCTACTTCAAGACCCAAGTACATGTCATAAGGTTAGTTATTCTATCACTTTATGCTAATACTGTTTTCATTTATTCTTACTTTCTATATATCCTTTTTCTTAATTGTGTGTAGTTCTGTAAGTTCATTTGCAAGTAGCAATCAACTATTAATTTATGTAAAATTAGATTCGTAAGTGGTGTGTCTTTGTTTTCTGTTATGAATAATAGAGAACTAAGAAATTGGTTGTAAAAATTCCCCCCCCAAAAAGAGAGAATAATAATGAGGAATAAAAAACAAAACAAAACAAAACGAAAAAAGGCATGGATATTTCTTCCTTAATGATTTTATTTTCATCAATAGGTGATTAAATTATCGATCTCTTTTTAGTTCCCTTCAACTTAATTCTGCAAATTCTTATGAGGTCTCTGAAAAATATGGTATTCTGTATGATACACTCTAAAAGTAATCCTTTTCTTTTTTACTATTTAAATTTTAAATTTGTAAATTGCTTGCATACATATTAGCCTATACACACATGCACGAACATATTTATCCGCATCTATTGGTTTCTTCTTTTTTCGTCTGTGTTTGGCGTGGCATGGAAATGATGCATGGAAGTCTCTTGTTTTTTGTTCAGAGATCTGCCTGTTATATGCTTGCAACTTTTTGCATTCTGTTTTTCTCTTTTTGAAAGACTTTTTTTTTTTTTTTTTTTAATCGTGTCATCCTTACAAATATCTCAAATGGGCATCTATTAATAGAATTAGACTTTGAAGCATGGTGGTATGAGTTTTTCATTGATGAGAATGCAATATTTATACATGAGTAAAGAGAATCCTAATCTAATTCAAAAAATTTAAACTAAGACTTATCTCCTAATAACTAATAATTTAAAATAATTCAAACTTTAAAATAAAAGATACTAATTAATCTAATCTCTAAATACTAGGATAAACTAAATACAAACTAATTTAAATTTAAATAAATCAATCATCCTTATCGTCAACGGCCCCTGGCAATTGACTAACGAGTTTTTGTTTAAAAAATGTTGTCCTTGCTACTTAATTTATTGATTTTGATTTTTGCCTAATTTCATTTTGCATATTTGATCTCCTTTATTTTTCATGACCTGCCTGCAGCTTAAGAAAAGTAATGAATTTTATAATACTAAAAAGATAAACAATATGTCTCCATATCTTTTGTTTTATTTTGTTTTTGGTATCTTGTTAGGAGTAGAAAACGTCAATAACTGTAGTTAAAAGTGTGAGCATCCTTTTTAAGTTTGCATATGGCAATAGCGGTGGACTGCGAAGTGTCAACTCCTGCTAATTACTTACTTTTAATTTGATGTTAAAGTTTCACTTTTTCCATTTTGTTTATAAACTTTTCAATGCCATATCTGATGCTAGTAAAATTGTTATATAGGTGATTGATAAGGCAGTACCTGCACTTGTAGACCTTGCTGAGATCACAACGCTGGGTGACCACAAGAAGCTTGGGGATTCTATTGCTAATGTTCTTCAGGAATGTATTCAGTCACAAGGGACAGGACGTAACACTCCAAGCAACCGGACGAAAGAACTGATTGAGGAGCTATTAAGTTCCAGACAGAGATTGAAATGGGAAAAGAATATGCCAAAAGAGGATCTACATATTAAACAGGCAGCTGCACTAGTTGTCAAGCTTGAAGGGAATTCCCTATTTTCTTCGGGAAATATAGCTGGAGCTGCATCAAAATACTCCGAAGCATTGGCATTATGTCCAGTGAGATCCAAGAAGGAGAGAGTTGTTTTATACAGTAACCGTGCCCAGTGTTATCTGCTGTTGCAACAACCTTTAGCTGCCATAAGTGATGCCACACGTGCACTTTGTCTTCACAACCCGCTTAACCGTCATGCCAAAAGCCTTTGGAGAAGAGCTCAGGCTTATGACATGCTTGGTTTAGCAAAGGAGAGTTTATTAGATGCTATTCTGTTTATAAATGAGTGCTCTCAATCAAATGATCCTGATCTATCATTGCGGCAAAATAAAGTTCCTGACTATGCTGAGCGATTAGTCAAGAAGCAAATGCGTGCTGCGTGGTTGTTTAGAGAGGCAGCTATCAAACATGGTGGTGTCCACTGTGAGGGCGATGCTTGTGACATCTATGGCCAAGAAACTGATGATTCGGAATGGGAGACAGCAAGTGAAAGTGATATAGGAAATGATGGAAGGGATGCAATGGGCGATGAAGATGAAGACGACGATGACAATGAATGGAAGAGTGAAGATGAGGGAAAAGATAAATACGATAAACCATCAATAAAAGGTACTACCTAAAAATGATACTCAAATTTCATGCGGAAGTCTGATATAAAAGATGTTTTGATAAAAAAAGATTTTGATTAGTTTAATAGAAGCTTTGTTTATGATGAAAATCTATTTGGACCATGACAGTTGCCACATTAATGATACCATCTAAACTTAAGTATGGAAAAAGTTATCCTTAGCTATCATCTAACTAAATGAGAGATGAATTTTATTCCTTGTTTGTTTCAATGTTTGTGTTTTTTCGTAATATATATGTAAGAGCCATTCCAACAATTATATCTAGAATTTAAACTTGTCTATCATGCAATGATAGTTAAATTTATCAACTGACAGAAATTCTGTCGCCCACATGAAAATGGTTCTTTGAACTCTGTTGTGCTACATGATGTAGAGTTAATTGACGGTCCTGCACTGCATGCAAAATTTCCCTCTCAATCCACAGATTAGATATTTGAACTCTGCGATGAGGAATTCTTCCTGGAGTGGGAGCTTTCTGTGTAGTGTTTCATTCAGGCCATTGGTGCCAACTTGATTCCTCCTGATTTCTTCTTGTTAATACTCTTGCAATTGGTTTTCTAATAACTAGAGCGTGTTTGAACTTTGGATGTCTAAATACTACGTTGGATACTTATTTGTACAGACCTTAAGCATGGATACAATGTGCAGCTTGTTGAAGATGAACCATAAAACTTGGATTGAAGATTTACCCTTCATATCCTGCACGTGCGACAATGGATGTGAAAGGTGAAGAAAGAAGTGACCTCGTTGGCGCGATCAGCTGAATCCGTCCTGAGGTTCATTGGAAACTGCCCGTCTTCCTGGGTCAGGTTAAGGAGAAAGAAAGTAGTCCAGTTCTTTTGTCAATTTAAAACTTGCTTTGTTGTGTATCGTTTTTAATTATTGTTCCTAATTTTTCATATTAAAAGTCAACTGTAGAAAAAAAAAGGGTGAAGTTTTTGAGTCTCGAGAACAAATGAGTGTAGGGTTGTGAAGTTTTTGAGTGATTACTTAGAGTTAGAGGCTTGTGTATATGAAAACGTTTACGCTATTGACATCAAACTATCATTTTGTCAATACTTCCGTCAGTAATTATGGTTTTTGTTTGCCTTAATCCGTGCAAGAAATTGATTTTGCTCTCATTTTTTCTCGCATTCTATTCAATGTAATAATGCTACATTATCCTTCGGTGCTTGAAATACATTTAATTTTACTTGCGTACTATTCTTGGTGCTTCGGTGACGGTTTAGCGTGACTTTGCTGCATTATCGCCAGTTGTGGCTAGCGATTATGCACTCTTTTTCCTTGGGAGGTCCTCTCTCTCAAAGATGAAGACCTTGTGGTTCTCAAAGTGCATGATATATATATATATATAT